AACCATCATCCCAAGTGTGTAATTTGTTAAAAATTCTTTAGATAAAAATCAATAACAAAAGTCCTGGAATGAATTACAAATGCATTTTATTAATGTATCCTGACAAAGTCATAACAAACAGGAGTTATAATTAAGCAGCTACACTGAAGAAATAATTCACATTGGCCTTTATCTTAAGGCCAAAATTCCTATGACACTTCTGGTACTGGAACTCTGGGTGTGTAATTGGGCCCTAAAAACTAGCCAAGGGGTGGGGAGACGTAGAGTAAGGCTGTGATGCTTGGGTAGGGAAATTTATCTCTCCTTCCTTCTTTCCACTTTCCCAAATTGAAAACACTCTCCTCTGGTTTCCCCAGTCAAAAATGGCTGTTAGAATGCCCTCATAAGAAAAAGGGGGGGGGAAAGACAGATATTTGTACTGAACCTGGCTTTTTCCACATTATGACTTAAAGTGGCCATCTTTAACTGGTGAAATTGGGCCCAGCAGTGCCACAACTTTGTTTCAGACAGGGCTATTTTGGGGCAGGAACGCACAGGAACGGAGTTCCGGCTGACTTCAGAGTTGGCCATGCCCACTACAGCCAAAACCTCTGCGTGCGTGGCTACAGAGGGAAGGCCTGGAGAGCGACCCCCCCCGGTGACTCCGGGGAGGGAGGGCCAGGGGGGTCGTGGAAGGATCGAGGAGGCATTTAAATGCCTTCCCTGGCCTGTCCAAGGGTCAGCTTGCCCAGGCTCCCTGCGGGGCACCCAGGCAAACCAAGGGAAGGCATGGGTGTGTGGTCTAATATGCTAATGAGCTGCACTGTCAGGGGTATGGCCTAATATGCTGATGAGTTTCTGCTGTTGGGTGTGGCCTATTATGCTAATAAGTTCCTGCTGGGCTTTTTTCTACAAAAAAAGCCCTGGTTTCAGATATCTTCTTCCCTAGACTGTGGTAGTTTAGTGTTTCAAATAGGATAGTAATAAATTTAGAGTCAGGCAGGGGTAATAAGGAAAAGTTTTTATTAAATAAATCTGCTTGTAAATCCTGAACTCTCTCTCTCTCTCTCTCTCTCTCTCTCTCTCTCTCTCTCTCTGTTCTTCTTT